TAAAAGCGATAACTATATTCATATTGATTTTGATGTGTAGGAAAATTATTGAACTATTGATATGAATAAACTTAGGTCATGGGTCACATTGTTTGGTACATTGTTTATTTGTTTTATTTAACCCATAATTTATCAACATATACATGAAATCAAATGTGCATAAAATTTATATAAAATATGTAGCTTAAAAAGAGAATGATTTGAATCTATTAAAGAAGAGAGAAATCCCATAAATCCTAAACATTACAACGATGAACCAAAAGACAAAATAAACTTCATTTAAAAGTACAAAGTTGAGGTCATACTATTTTGAAAATAATACAAAACTATGTAGGTTCAAACTTAAATGATCTATGCTTATGCTTGGTAGCCTTCTTCAATGATCTTTGAACGGAGGAGCACTTCAAAAAAAAAAAGATAAGAGTCATGCTCAAACCCTACCATTTGTGAAATTAGTTAAATACACATTGATAATCCTGTAAAAGATAACTAAAAGTCGTGACTACCAGCTCCTTATAAAAAAAATAAAAACTAATGAAATAAATAATAAATGCTAACCTTAAATCTTGTTTGATATCTCTTTGACTCTTCGTTCATCTTCCACCAAATCACAAAGTAACTCGTGCAAAAACATTATAAATAATTTTCATTGCTTCCTCCTTGCTGTCACAATTTAAAAAAATTGCATAAACAAGATTATACCTTCGGGGAGGTCCTGATATCTAATATGACCAAAGCAAAGAAATCTTGAAAATTCAACGAGAATGGCCAATAAAAACTTACTAGAACACAAGTTGATTAACACATATTTTATATAATCCTACAACAGTGAAGCAAGAAGAAAATATTGTCTTTGGCTTCTTTGGTTGCAATATACCGAACAAGACTTTACTGCAATTAAACAGATGGGTTATTTAAATAGCCATAAAAGGAGATGAGGGCAGCGAATTAAGGGTAGACGTGGGTAGAGGAAGCAAAGCCTAGTCGTTTGTGTTTGTGACTTTATATATATCTATGGGGGAGGGGGGAATTAAAATGAGGAGGGAATTAAAAAAAAATATTAGAGGGAAAATAATATGACAGGAGGGAAATGAAAATTTAGAATTTCATTCTCGTGCAGCCTAGTATTGTTTGAATTTGATAGGATTTTGACGTTTTGTGGGGGCGATTTTGTTGGAACAACCGTATCCATGTATACCCATAATCTCACCAATTTCGGAAGATATTATCTTTTTTTTTTGGAAATCGGCAAATATATTAATCAAAGAAACCACATCAAGCTAATGTGGGAAAACGAAAAGTACAAGACAGTCAAAAACAAAAACTACAGACAAAGAGTAGGGCATAAATTCCAAACTCTCCAATCTACATTTTTGCATGGAGTTCTATGCTTGCACCAAGTAAACGTCATAGCTTTTATCTTTTCTGTTATGACCGCCGATGAAGTGTGAATCTATTCGTACACCCGTTTATTCCTGGCTAACCATAAGCACCATAATGCTCCATTAAAAATCATATTCAAAAGCCTCTTTTTTCTATTACATCAGGAACACCTTGAGACGAATAGTATCAACTCCCTTACCGACGTAAATCTTTCACAATTGAGTTCACACCAGGATGTTATCGAATTTAAGACGAAATCACAATTGGGCACGTAATCAAAATGTGGTCCAACGTCTCCTCTTCCAAGCTACAACCACTACATCTACTTGATGGGATAGTGATCCCACGCCTACTAAGTGCCACCGCCGACGGAAGTCTTCCTTGTTTTGCTCTCCACATGAAGGAGAGAATCTTGAACGGAGTCCATTTCCCCCAATCGAACGGTCCATCACATACAACAAAGTCGACTAGTTCAATCCTTTCCCATATCCGAGACACCATGAATCGTCCGTCAGAAACAAACTCTGATTTCCACTCACCCTCACCCACGTTCCACGATATTATATCTTTGGGATCAATGTTGATCGTTTGCAGAAAAGACCTTGATTTGATTATGTTTTTCCATACCCCCGTACTCGATCTATTCGCGAACACTGACCAATGCCTTCCATCTAACTTATGCAAACATCGAATAGTTTTTGCCCACAGTGATGAGTTCTTAGATTTCAGACGCCACATCCATTTTGCTAGCAGTGAAATGTTGATAGATTTAATCGAACCTAGTCCGATCCCCCCATTCGTCCTTGGAGAAACGAGCTTATTCCAAGCCACCCAATTAATACTTTTTTTCTCGTACTCCTTGTTCCAAATGAAGTTTCTTCTAATTTTTTCCAGCGTGTCAATCACACCTGTCGGGACTGCAAAGATTGACATGTAATATATATGCAAGTTGCCAAGGACTGCCTTAGCCAGGGTTACTCTACCACCGAAACTTAAAGATTTCGCTTTCCAAGTCGTGAGCTTATTTTGGAACTTTTCGATAACCGGTCTCCATGCTCGCTTCCTATTCATATTTTCGCCCACCGGAACTCCCAGATAAGTGAAGGGAATGGATGAAGGTTCACACCCAAGAGGAGCCGCCCAGTTTGAAACTTCTAAATTAGATACCCCCACCCCAAAGACTTTTGACTTTGTGAAGTTCACTTTTAGTCTGGACGACACGTGGAAGCATCGTAATATTCTTGATAAATTCGCAATGTTTCTCCTTGACCATTCGCCTATGAATAGCACGTCATCTGCATAGAATAAATGAGACAAGCAAATGTTAGGTTGTGAAAATTTAATTCCTTCAAATATTCCTTTCTCCACTGCTGATATCATGGCTTGATTGAGTCCCTCCATCGCGATTAAAAACAGAAAGGGAGAGAGTGGGTCACCCTGTCTGACCCTTTTTGTCATTGAAAATTCTTTAGTTGGGCTACCATTGATTATTACAGACGCCCTCCCAGAACTCAGACAGCAGTTCATCCATAATCTCCATTTCAATCCAAATCCCATTTGTTCCATGATAGAGTCCAGGAACGCCCAATTTATCGAATCAAATGCTTTATTAAAATTAGCTTTAAAGAGTAGTATCTTTTTGCCTCTAGCCTTTGTCCACGAGCAAAGCTCGTTAACTATCATTGGTCCTTCCAGTATATTCCTTCCTTCCACATACGCTGATTGTACCTCTCCAATGATGTTACCAATCACGTTTTTTAATCTGATCGCCAACAACTTCGCAATGATTTTATATATCGATCCAATCAGCCTTATTGGTCTGAAATCTCCAAAGTGCGTTGGATCCTTAGATTTCGCCACTAGAGATATGAAGGAGGAGTTACATCCACATGATAGCTTTCCGTGAACTTCAAAATACTTTACCATCCCCACCAATTCCTCTCTCAACAGCTCCCAAAACTTTTTTATAAATTTAAACGTGAATCTGTCCGGTCCCAGAGATTTTTCATCCCCACATGCCCAAACTGCTCTTTTTATTTCCTCTGTTGTAATTCCAGCTTCCAAGAATCTAGCATCAATTCCAGAAAGTCTTTTAAAACCAGGATTGCAAAATTTTGGTCTAATGGGCCATCTTTCTTTAAATTTATTCCCAAAGAACTTTTCTGCCTCCTTTTTTATTTCCACCGGGTTAGTACTCCAAGCGTCATTTATCATGATCCCATGTATATGGTTTTTACGATTTCTGTTGTTCACGTAGGTATGGAAGAAGCGAGTATTCTCATCACCATCAATTTCCCATTTTAATTTTGCCCTTTGCTTTAGGTTCATGGCCAACCTTCTAGTGTGATTGTCCACCTTAACTCCTAAAATTGATCTTTCTTTCTTCTCATTAATAGTCATAGGCCTAGATTCAGCCCCCATCTCGATTTCAGCTATTCTCTTTTTCCATTCATCTACTTTCTTCTTCTCCTTATCAATTGCGTTTATTTTCCAGTTTCTAATCGCAAGTTTGAGATGCTTCAATTTATTCAAGAGAATCATGTCAGGTGTACCATAACCCCTGAACTCTGAGCACGCTTCCTTAATAACTTCATCCAGATTGTCGTTAAGTAACCAGGAGTTTAAGAACTTGAACAGAGGCGGACCGAAATCCACGTTACTAGCTCTCAATATAATGGGGGAGTGGTCTGAAAGGTCTCTATTCATTGCAAAGGAGGAAGCAAGAGGATACACGGAAAGGAAATTGGAACATACCAGAAAACGATCTAACTTACTCAGTTTCCCACCAAGAGTTCTAAAGTATGTAAATTTTTGGCCTCCCATCTTCAAGTCCGTCAGTTCACCGTTGAGGATGAATTTGTTGAACTCATTTGCACTCCGAGCACAAAATTTAGAATTAATCCTTTCATCTTGGCACCTTACCACATTGAAATCCCCCATGAAGATCCAGGTTGCCGATCTCGATAGTTTTATTGCCAACAGTTCGCCCCACACTTTCGCTTTCTCGCGTTCCTGTTGAGGGCCATAGACATTTACGACCCCCGTTAGCCCATCTATTCCTACAAAGTTCCCCATTGTTACGATATAATTCCTTGACTTAATCACTTCTACTAACGAGAACATTCTACTATCCCATATCGTTATTATTCCTCCCGATCTTCCCGTAGAGAATACTTGCTCGAAGTTGCAGTCTGCGTCACCCCAGCAGTTAGATGGATTGAAAAGCGGAGACTTTTCCCCCAATTTTGTTTCCTGAATCCCGACCAAACATAGTTTATTTTCTCTCCTCAGTCTTCCTACCCAATCCGTTTTATGTTTCTCTCCCAGACCTCTGATGTTTAGTGACATGATATTCATTATATTAGCTGGTTTTCTCCTTCTTCACCAATTACATCTTTGAGGACTTCGTTATCACATTCCAAATCGAATCCCAGCATTTTACCTACCTCCACCGTGTTCCTGATTTCTGACGATGAAGTCGAGTGTGACTCGTCGTCCGATTCCGGGAGCGGGATATGGGAAGGGATCGGTTCTAAATTTAAGTCGATGGGGGATTGATCTGAAGACACCATTTGATTTTGATTTTCCATGGGCGACTCAAAAATCGGCGTCAATAATCATCTTCTTTTATCAGAGGATCCTTTAAAATTATTGTTGGTTCGACCCGGAATTGGTTCACTTCGAACCATATTGTTATGAAAAGGGCCAAAGCAGCCAGTTAAAGGTAACGCGTTTAGGGGCCCATTTGACAAGTCCATATGGCCCAAATTGGTAGACTCCAGGTTTTTAGACGGCGCAATATTTCCTGCATTCCCGTTTGACTTTCCAATAACCGTCGGTTCATTAACGTTTGCATTAATTTGTGCCCTTTGGGATTCCCAATGCAATTCGGTTTCACTTCCTCCGTCAGTCCCTGCCGGTACCATGATCGCCGGAGGCGGCCTCATCTCCGAGTTGTTATGCTTACCGGCCACATGTAAGTGAGAGTTTATTTCCGTTCCATCCTCTTCTCTAATCTCGCCCTCTTCAGACTCTTCCTTTTCATACTGCATTGGAGGGGTATCCGATACATGATCTTCATCGTCCGATCCGACCAAGTCATCCACTTCGTCTTCATCTTCATCTGATGAGGAAGTATCCTCCAATGAGTGATCAAGTTGCTTAAATGGAGTCCAGTCAAGATCGACTTAGTCAACTCGGATTTTAATTGTCTTTCCGTTAATCTCTATTGTCAGCTCGCTTGAGATGGATGATAACGAGCTTGTGATGACACCGACGTTCCCATAGACTAAATTCGCACTGGATGTATCAACTTCGAATGGAACAATCACCCTGCCCATCAGTCCGGTGATTTTCGAGAAATTCTCTTCTGACCATAGTTTTGGTGGGAGGCCGATGATTTTTATCCATGCTATCCTTTCGAAGTTATAAGTCGCGATATCGCCGCTCTCCATCAACCTAAACCATTTCGACCACCTAACCAGGAACGAATCTCTGCTCTTGTCATCTATGAATTTGACGCCCATTCGTAGCCCTCCCAAGTATTTTAGTTCACATTCAGACCCATCACAGTTCTTGAATGCAAGTGGCACCTTTTCGAGATGGTCGAAGCTGTGTATTTCACCAATCAAAGTTAACTTACTACTCAACCATCCCTTAAGCGGTGAATCATCTGAGATTTTAATTGGAGATAAAAGTATCGCTTGGGTTTGGTAGGTCGTAGTTCTCCCAAGTTTGTTACTACCTCGTACCACCTCAGCGAAGGATCTGTTATCTCTACCTCTCCATCGATGTTCATGTGGTCTTCTGTATTGGTTCTGATTCCTCGTAAACTTGTCCCCTTTTGAATTGATCGATTTTCTTGCAAACCTTGCTATGTTGATCTCTAGCGGTCTTTCTTTAAAAGTTATGCCTTGAAGGGACTCCTCAAGTCTCCGTTCATCTCCCGTCGCTTTAAATCGCACAAAAGCAAAAGACTTTTTGTTTACGTCTTTCTTCGCAGCCACATACACGTCCACCACTTCCCCATATTTGGTGAAGAAACTTTTTAAGGATTCAATCCTGGTCTCATGAGGAATATTAGATACAAACAGCGTCGTTACCCCTGCATGATTCCAACTTTTTTGATTTCCTATCGCCGCTGTCTTCCTTCGTCTTCTATTCGTAGCCTCTTGCCAACCTCCGTCAGTCGCCATTTCTCTTACCCTCATCCTAATTTACATTCTGTTGTTGAATTTATACTTTAGTTTTAATTTGTTCTGAATTTTTGTTATAAGTGCCGATTTACATATATTTTTTATTTAAATGTCATTCCATATTTATCTATACATTTTATATAATAGTATTATGTGTAAGCAATATGCACACATTAACCACAATTTTTTTAGAGTCATAAATATGTGTAGGTATTAATTTGCTACGTCATTAACAAAAATATAAAACAAAACATATAATACTCTATTTAACTACATTTAATATAAAAATATTTTGTGTACGTAAAATTTCAAAAATTACTTACACATGTATTAAGTTTTTATGTATGTGTAGATAGTTTTATTTGCATATAAACAAAATTCAACATATTTGTGGATAATCGTACATGTAATATATAATCAAATTTTGGGGGAAATTTTCCCACCTACGAAAAGTGTGGCTAAAAAGTATTACCAACATATATTAAGTGTTTGCCTTTATATAAAAATAATTATTGACATTTATCTACACATATAAAAATATGTGTGGGTATTTACCCACACATTGACATGTGTAGCTAATTTATGTGTGGGTAAATACCCAAATTTCTTGTAGTGAAAATAGAATGCAGATGACCAATAAAATCTCTGAAGATGATGAAAGCGATGACAAAGAAGCATATACCTTCTTCTGTGTGAGATGTTGCCAACGACCATTAGGATTCCAGAGAATGAGAGACGATATATAATGAAAATCAATTGGGGTTTCCTTCAAGATAAATGAATGTGTGAAAATTCTGAAGCAGGTTCTTAGATGGTGAATCAAGATCCCGCTTCTAGGGTTTTATGAGTTTTTTAAAGATTGTGGAGATAATAAGTTGGCGATCATGATTCTCGGTGAAGATTAGTTGGTTTATTGGCTTCAAATTGGAAACTCTTATTAGGGATTTCAACATTGGGTTTATGTTAACAAAATTTTTGGCTAAGTTTTAGAGATTTCAATGTGGATGGCAAAATTTACGTATGGGAAAATGAAATGTAAAAGGGAATAGAAAAAAGATGACATGTGGCATATATATATATATATATATATATATATATATATATATATATATATATATATATATATATATATATATATATATATATATATATATATATACTCCAATAAATGAAGATATTTTTGCTACATGTCACACTCTTATTCAATTTGTCAAATGTTATTTTATGGTTATTTTGAATTAATTATTTTTTTCCACATGTCATTTTATCGGTTTTCTTATTTTATTAAATTTCACGTAATATTTTAATATAATAATTACAATAAATATCATAATCAATAGATATCAATTTCATTACTGAACTTACCTACTAAGTTCAAAATTCCTAAATTAAAGGTTATTAGATTCTTTTGTTTATTTATTTAAATTTTTTGTTTAAACTTAAAAAAAATAAATAAATAAAATAAAAAATAAAAAAAAAAACCATGTCAATTTTATTAATTCAATGTTTTTCTTATTTTCCTATAAATTTAAAGCTCTCACATATTTAGAATTTTATATTTATATATTTATTTGAAATTAATACATGTAATACATGGTTCCCACATCTAGTTTATTAGGAGTTGCATGAGTTTGACATATGACAGTAGGAGATTCAACTTATTATTATTATTATTATTATTATTATTATTATATTTATTATAAACACAGATACACACACACACACACACACACACACACATATATATATATATATATATATATATATATATATATATATATATATATATATATATATATATATGCATATGGCTAGATTATAATATAGATGAACAACTACTGTGTGGACGTGTGGCCTGTACTATTCTACGAGAATTACTTAGAAATAGATTGTTTAGTAATGTGAATACGTTCAACCTCACACAACTATCGTCATTTTCATGCATTCTCAATAATTCTTATTCATTTTTGTTCTCAAACATCATTTTTCACTAATTTTCATTATTATAGAATACGGCTCAATGGACATTCTCACAGAATGAAAATAATAAAAAAAAAATCTATAATAACCTTATAAACGATTTAATTAGTAAGAATATATGATAATGACAATAATTATGTAAGATTGAACGTATTCACATTATCAAACAACATATTTTTTTGTCATTCTCACAGAATAGCACTGTCCACATGTCCGCACAATAGATGTCAATCTATATATATATATATATATATATATATATATAGAGAGAGAGAGAGAGAGAGAGAGAGCTTGGTTTAAATGTGGATTGACATCTATTATGTGGACAGTACTATTCTGTGAGAATGACAAAGAAAATAAGTTGTTTAATAATATGAATATGTTCAATCTTACATAACTATTGTCATTATCATACATTCTCATTAATTAAATCATCTATAAGGTTATTATACACTTTTCATTACTATTCTCATTCTATGAGAATGTTGTTAGAATATTTATTGAGTTATATTCTGTAAGAATGAAAATGAGTGAAAAACAATGTTTGCGAACAAAAATGAATAAGAATTAGTGAGAACGCATGAAAATGACGACAGTTGTGAGAGTTTGAAAGTATTCACATTACTAAACAACATATTCTCTTAGTAGATTGATGGGTTTTGAGCAAAACATACAATCATATGTGTGCATGCAACCTTAAATTAATTGGATATAAGTTTTCTCTAATTAAACATGCAAACTTGAACAACAAAGAAGAAACACTAGCTTCTATGTATTATAATCAAAATTCAGATAATAAAGATTAAAATACATACTTTGATTGTTATATTGTAATAACAATCTAAAAACCTTGCTTGAAAGACCTTCGATAGCAAGCGCCACAAGTGTTGCGCTTCTAATGGCTTATAAACAAACCTAGCAACCAAAGATTACTATAGAGAGAGAAGGAAGGTATAGTTTCGGCTCTAAGCCTTTAGGAGGAGAGCATTTACGAAATCCAACCCTAAGGAGGGTTTATATAGGTGCTGAGAAGGTATTGGATTAGGCAGGTGTATCCAAGATAACCTAATCCCTTAACTATATGCATAAGGCATCCATGTCACCCTTAGAGCCCAAGGAAACCCTAAGAGCATCTAGATTTCATTTCCCCCACTATAGGGCGCTTCTAGAATTCTCAATGCTCAACTATTGAACGTTGTCACCTTTAGTTTCTACAGTTTCAATTAATTCCTTTAATTCCAAAATTAATTCCAAATTAATTTCTGATTAAATATTAATTAAACATTATGATTTCTAATTAATATATTATTTCCATAATACATTAATAAATCATTTATTTTGAATTCTAATTAATTTATTAATCAAATAATAAAATAATAAACCATTCTTCTCTCTCTAACAGTTATCCTATTCAATTGTCAAGTTTGAAGGCAACCCAAAAGGACATTGCTACTATCAATTCAAATACATATCAATTATAGTTATGGGTTAGACACCTAACCCAACAGTCTCCCACTTGGATAAGTCTAATAACTATAATTGCAAGTATGACTTCAAATATTGACCAACAAATTATAACTACCAAAAGCCGCTATCACACCCCGCTAAAGCGTAAACACGGGACACAACATTAGAAAGGGTCTCATAGAAAAAGTTTAAAGACAACACCAACCATAGTATCAAAAAACATTACAAATTTACAATGAGTTTGAACAACTTTTTAAAAGAAATTACAACGTATTTAAAAGTCAACGCATTAAAATACTTCTAAAAGTGGTGTGTCTCTACGTGCCTCTTACTAGATGATTCCTGAAAAAGTATGTAAAACGAGCGTCAACTATAAAAATAGTTGGTGAGTACTCATAGATTTAAAAAATAATATTGGTTTCATGAATCGAAATCAAATTTTGATAAGAATTTCCACAAATGAAAATATATTGCAAAAATGAGTAAATAAGTTTGCATAAACAAAGTTTGTTGGCATCATGAGAAATATGGTACGTTGCCCAAGTGAGTTACAACATTTATATTCTCATTTTTTTAAGACTTTTACATTTTTATAATATTTTCACTCCAATAACAAGAAATATTTACATAGACGTAGTGGGTAAACGAGCAACAAGTTGGGCCGCAACCCCTTTTTGGATGGCAAAACTAATTCTTTTAAAAACAACATCTATAGATCTTGTAGTCATAACAATACAATGCATGACCCGTTGGACTCTATTGAGTAGCTCCACAGCTTCTAGTGCAAGGAAACCGAAAGTATAAAATGCAAAGGGTATAAACGTGTGTTGATTTTCCATGCTTGCTTTCTTATGTTTTGCCCCTTTGCTTGATGTAGCTTTTAAAGCAGCTTGCCCCACTGTGAAAACTCCACTCCCCAAGCCCACAAGAGGGGAAACGCACGTTAGATCCATGCATGCATGTTTTCCTCCAGCCCATCCAAATACTAAAACATCAGCTAGTCTAAGTGTTGATCTTCATTCCAATGGGTCAGTCAGAAAGTTCACAAGTGCCTCTTTCTTGGCAGAAACCCCAGTGCATATAAATATGTCAAAAAGAACATCCCTAACTTGTGTCGGTACATGAAACTCGGGAGCTCTTTACAATGAACTGCATGCTCCCTAAACGAGTCCAAAAACACCTTACGAAAAACAGGGCAAGTCTCGTTAACCGGAAATAAAGGGATCAGAAGGCGATACTTGAGGATTCCATGATACTCCACTGGCGACATATGTTGGCCAATGCCGTCAATAGGAATAGTCATAAGAAAATCCTGAGCATGTAGGGCCCTTAAACACTCTAAAATAGCTTTCTGCCTAATCGTCACGTCGAAGTGAACTTCCATGTCTTGGACAATTTTACTAAAAAGGGCACTCGCCAGTGAATGTTGGGCTTTTGGAGGGCGGTGTCCTTATTAGTGAAACTGCTGAAGTCAAAGCCCGGAATCGTATCATGAAGACAGGCCAAATGTAACAACGCAAATTTTCAAATAAAATTTTCATTTTAAATAAAGT